GCGGCTGCGTTCTGGACAAGTTGAAGTCTCCGAATACTCTTCAAGGGCTGCCCCATGTAGAGCGCATTGCAGTAGTCCAGTCACAATATATAACATACTGTTTAAAAGAGAAATGATCCGCGAAGTAAGGATATAGCTCTATTAAAAATGAATGCAAATGCTAAAACTGTCATGTCAAGAGAATGTAATATGTATTATACTCAGAGCTCAGGCACTTCCATCTCTTGATAATTCATTCTCCCTATTTTTATCTTTTTCAGCAATATAATTTGACTGTAATAAATGTTAATTGCATGCACAGTCATTTTGCAATAAGAAAGGTCACTTGTGATATAGTCCCATATGGTATTGCTTGAAAAATGTCCCTCTAGATGAGATGCCTTTTTCTAACCAATTATCCAAGACTGTTCAGTTAGTTTAACTGGAAGATGTATAAACTCATGTTTTACATTAGATAGTAGTATATAGAACTGCCTTCTACTTTCAGTAAAATTGCAGTATAAGTGCAGTATTAAGTTCATTATGAGAATTGTTTCTACCTGATGTGTTAAGACTATGCTCTGACAATTTGCCAAAATGCAAAGGTCCCCAACATTTCAGGGCCAGTAGCCTCAACTGGAATTTTGGGATATTGTATCCCACTGGCACCTTGAAAAAAAGGATTGTGGAGAGGATCTTGCCAATTATAAAACACTGATTTATCAAAAGATGTTAATGAAATTGTTCCCACAACCCTTTCTAGCCATCTGGAATGTTTCATTATCTCAAATTACCCTTGAGAATAGCAGAGAACTGCTTGAACGCTGTGTTTAATAGTTCAAGGCAAGCAGTCACCGATTCAAACTTATTCTTAGTGAATTTCCCATTAGATGAGGTTTTAATGCAATTGGTTTACCAACCAATTGGTTTACCAACCTGTTGTGGCTCGGCAGGAGCCCTTGGAGCTGCTATCAGACGCTGACGCTGAGGGGCCCTATGAGTCAAGCCTGGAGGAGGCGGAAGGCCCTGGACAGGGTTCTGACTCCGAGCAGGGCTCAGAGAGACTAGTTGGTCCCCAGGTAATGAC